TGTTTTTGCACCGAACAGCCCCAATCCTCCTCTTCTGGGGTCTCCACCGGCACTCCTGGACCCTCCCTCCTGCCAAGTTTCCCTACAGCAAGCAGCTTGCTATGGGGACACCCAAGCAGGCTCACTTTAGCTGCTGCTCTGTGGGTCTCTCTCCTCATTGGTTTACTGGCTATGATTGACAGCAGTGGGAGCCAATGGCTCTCACTGCTGTCTTAGCCAATGAAGAGGGAGAGTCCCCAGAGAGCCGTGGCTCTCATGCACATCGCTGGATCATGATGGGGCTCCGGTGTTTGGGGGGGGCTGCTGCACACAGCAGGTTTTTTACCTTTATGCATAGAATACTTGAAGGTAAAAATCTTCAGCTTTTAGAACCACTTTAACATGCATTTTCTGACACGAGGGTGTAAACTGGTTCTTATAGAGGTCAAAGAACCGTAGCTGTGTGAACGACTATGACATCATGCACTCTATTCAGTGCATTTCTGTCGAGCACTTCAGAAAGTTTTATTCCGTATTCCGCTGCCTGTCTTTTTATCTTCTTAACTATTAAAGCCCGACTTTATGTAAAACATTACTTTTTTTGTTTTGGATGGAGTGGGAAATAGGGAAATATATTCTATGGGGACAAAGGCTTAAAAAAAAAATACTGTTGTAGTAGAGTGCGAACCTTTGCTAGATTGCGGTCTGTGCCTGCCTGGCCTGTGTTTTCCTGTTGCCCTCATTCCTTACATGGACAAAATCTCATCAGTGGGATCATATGCATCAATTAAAGTGATGCTAAACACACACTGTTTAATTTACTTTATCCCTTCTATTTCTTTGTGTAATTATTTTAGTTACAAAAAAAAGTTAGGTACCTTTTTCTAATTGATATACAGCTGTCACATGACCCAGCTCTTTCCCAGCCTGTCTGCTGGGAAACATAAGCAGAAGGAGCTTCTAATTCTCTGCTGCTGGTCACATGTTTAAAATGGGGAAAAAAACAGCCTTTGGAATACTGAGTGAAAATAAATTATATCAAATTGTTTTTAAATTGGCATAAAAATATATCTTTGAAATCAAATCTTTATTATTTTGTGGAAGTAACATGGTGTGGGCGGATTGCTGCCAATCATAAGCAATGTCACGCCCCTCCAGCCTTAGAATAAGAGGGAGGTGATTCCTCTATTAATCTATATCCCACCCCCATTGTGTTTAGCTGGTTAGTGGGCATGGAGGAGGAAAGAGGGAGTGGGCTGTCATTTTACCACTGTGTATACGCCCACATGTGTGACACTATAGTCACATGGGTGCTCAGATGTGATAGGGTGGAACTGGAAACTGAGCATGTGCAGAGTTGCCTCCACAGCTGCAATATCCCTAGTTCAGTTGGGGGACATGAGCAGAAGATGGAGAGAAGCAGGATCAAGCTGTTTTTTTTGCAGAATACAGAAAACAAATTTATAGTGAATATGAACAGCATGCACTACAGCATTTATTGATAGATTTTAATTATGTGGTTTAGTGATATACCCAAAAGGGGAAGTTCCGCTCCCTGTTAAGGATTAGCACCTTTGGGGAGCGGGAACCCGAAATTGAGTGCACTTCCACTGCAATCGCCTAGGCGATCAGAAGCAGAAGTTGTACTACCGACCCCCCCCCCCCCCCCCCCCCCTTCCCCCGTAGTCTTTTTTTTTGGGACACGTGACAGGTCCCAGAAGACTACGGGACCATTCACGATTGCTGTGCTACTTGCCACACACTGTCACAGCCGGATGCCCACAATGAAGGTGCCGGGAACATAGGGCAGCCGATAAAATTGGAGGGACACCGCGGGATCGAGGGGCAGGTAAGTCTCAGTTTTTTAAAAGTCAGCAGCTGCAGTTTTTGTAGCTGCTGACCTTGTATTCATTTTTTTTTTTTTTCATTGGAACTCCTTTTTAAGAAACTACATTGACCTTTTGTTCACTTGAAAACTAGGAGCTTGGAGCAGGTTTATGTAGCTTAGAAGGAGGTCATCTGCAGGTCAAATACACCTGCCAATAATTTGAATAAACTCAGATGTCTCAATCTAATCTCAAATGCAGTCAGAATGTGCCTGGAAGCAAGCTGCGTTTGCCCATTGACACAGGCCCTAACAACATCCTTTATCATAAACTACTGTTTTGCTTTTTATTTTATTTGTTTTTCTCCTCAGTGCTGCTGCCTCTTTCAGCCACTTCTGTCTACCTTCTCCTTTCCTCCAGCATTGGCTGCACATCACTGCTCTTGACAAAATAACTGGTAGTTACAAAAAGGGATCATCTGTGTTCCATCTGATAACAATTACTCAGTCAGATGAAAGGATGGAATACTGGCCTATGTCTGTATCTAAAGCCAAATGTCATCTTTTGTTTAAAGGCCAATAGTTACATTTTTAGGTGTAGAGTTAAAGTATAACGAAGTACAAAAGTTTTATCCTTTACAAAGATTTTTATTGTTGGTGCCCCCTGTTACGGAGATGCCACCCTCTGTACTGGTCATGTTTACCATTTGTTTGTTTATTACAGGTACTTATATAGCACCTTCAATTTGCACAGCAGTTTTACATATATATATATATTATTTATTTTATTTTTTTATAATATTTTCTGGTACAAAAAATACATCCAATACATAATAAAAAAGACAGGAATACACATCACATGCACATCCCCATTACCTAAGTTCCCTTTGCACCACCTTTTTCCTCCCCCACCCTTCTTGACAATCTCCTCAACTCATCCTTTATTTCATTTATTACTGGAATATAATTTGCCTGATATAAACCTTTTATTGAAGGAGTTAATTGTACTCCCAGGTAGCCTATTTGTTTTCCCCTCCAAATGAATGGAAACTCTTTTTAACCACTTGCCGACCACAGATAGCCGAATGACCGCTTCACCACGGCCAGCCAGTTCTGGGAGGTCGTCATATGGTTACAGTGTTGCATGACCGCGCAATTGTCATTCAAAGTGCAACAGCACTGAAAGCTCAAAATTGGCCTGGGCAGGAAGGGGGTATAAGTGCCCAGTAGGCAAGTGGTTAAAGACTCAGCTCCTCTGATTTTAATAGATTGATATTTAAATTCTCTGATTTTGCAGGGTGATTTTGCAAACCTTTTAAAGAACTGAGAGAGGGATCGATTAACCTTAACTTTAGGCTCTAATCCTAAGGCCTCCAGTGTATCAAACATAAATTCACAATTAACCCTGTCAAGCCTTTTCGGCATATATCAACAGGAACACTGTCGGCAGTTTCTCTCTTTTTACCTTGTGTAGGAGGAGTAAATAACCTTAACATTCAATTTAGTGTCAATATTCAATAAGGATATGGGCCTATAACTGGCACACTGTGTACTGTCTTTCCCTTCTTTAACTATTTGTATATAAGCCTGCAAGGACTCTTCCCTCATTTCCAGTCCCTCCCTTATTGCGTTCATGTAACCACACATTTTAGGAATAAGAATGTCTTTAAACTTTTTAAAATATCCCACAGTATATCCATACGGGCCAGGACTCTTTCCTGTGGCCGTATATTTTGTGGCCAGGGTAATTTCCTCCAGGGTGATTGATCTCTCTAGGGCTTCTAATCTTGTGCTACTCTTGGCAACTCCACTTCCTTTAAATATTTTTGCCTATTATTCTTCTTTTCCTCTTCTGTTTTCGTTTTGATTTCGGGGGCTCACATCTTACAGCCTGCTATAATATTTATGAAACCTATTTGCGATATCAGTGGTGGTATACACCATTCCTCCTTTACCATCATTAGATCTTTCTATAACATTTTTAATTTTCTTTTCCTTAAGCTTTCTCATTAAATATTTTCCAGGTCTATTCCCCCACTGATATCTATCTTTTTCGACCCTGTTGAATATCTTTCTTGACACCTGTTCCATAAGTTTTTAATTCTTCTCTTTTAAGGGTCATCTTCTGATAGACGTCCTATCTTCTTTTTATTTAATTGTTCTAATTTATGTAGCTCCTCTATCACTCTTCTTATTTTTCCCCTCGTTCTTTCTTCTTATCTTCACCTACTGAAATCAGTATACCCCTAATATATGCTTTATGTGCCTCCCAGATCGTGGCCACCGAAACCTCCTCAGTCTCATACTCAAAAAAAATTGCTCAATTTTCTGCTTTAGCCTTTTCTCTATTTCTGAATCTTGTAGAAGCATCTAATTTAGTCTCCACATATTTATTTTGTCCTGCTTCCATCTTACCCGAAGTCTCATTGTGACAGGCGCATGATCTGAGATGGATATAACCTCTATGTTGGAACTCACCGACGACTCCAAATGTCTATGCTCAATTATTATATAATCCAGTAAACTCTCCAGGTATCACTCAATTGGCACTTATGTAATAATCTCTTCAGTATTTTAAATTTCTTACTCTCCTTTCTCCGAATACATGAGGACACATCCATCTGAGGATCCAGACACAAATTTAAATCTCCTTCCACAACCAGACCACCCCTTTATTAAATTCTAAAATTTCCCCCAATACCCCTTTGAGAAACATCTCCGGATTTTTATTTGGACAATAAATGTTAGCTAAAGTATATTCGACTCCTTGTAACTTTCTCCTCAGAAATAAGAACCAGCCCTCAGAGTCCTCCATTCTTTCCTTCAGAATAAAATTAGCTTTTTTTGAGAACCCAGTTGCTACACCTTTAGCTCTTTAACCACTAGCCTACAGGGCACTTATACCCCCTTCCTGCCCAGGCCAATTTCCAGCTTTCAGCGCTGTCGCACTTTGAATGAAAATTGCACGGTCATGCAACACTGTACCCATATGACATTTTTATAATTTTTTTTGTGACAGAGCTTTATTTTGGTGGTATTTAATCACCTCTGGAGTTTTTTTTATTTTTTCTTAAACCAAAAAACCACTGAAAATTTTGAAACAAAAAGTTTTTTCTTAGTTTTTGTTATAAAATTTTGTAAATAAGTGATTTTTCTCCTTCACTGATGTGCGTTAATGAGGCTGCACTGATGGGCACTGATAGGCTGCACTGATGGGCACTGATAGGTGGCAGTGATGGGCATTGACAGGCATCACTGATGGGCACTGAAAGGCAGCACTGATATATGGCACTGAAAGGTGGCACTGACTGGCACTGATAGGCGGCACTGACTGGCACTGATAGGCGGCACTGACTGGCACTGATAGGCGGCACTGATTGGCATTGATAGGTGGCATTGACTGGCACTGATGGGTGACACTGAAAGGCAGCTCAGATTGGCACTGATATGTGGCATTGATGTGCACTGGTAGGCACTGATATGTGGCACTGATGGGCACTTACATAAGGCACTGATGAGCACTGACACAAGGCACTGACAGGTGGCACTGCTGGGGCTACACTGATCATCAGAGCACACTGATCATCAGTGCTCTGATGATCAGTGTACATGTCCCCTCTGCGGAATGCCGATTACTGGCTTTCCTCGCCTCTCGAGCTGTCAGCGTGACAGCTTGAGAGGACAGAAATGCCGATAACCAGCATTTCCCTGTTTACATGTGATCAGCTGTGATTGGACACAGCTGATCACATGACCGAGCCGACATCTTCGGCTCCTTCCCTGATCGGTGATCCACTGTGTCCGAGGGACACAGCACACCGCTGATCGCCGCGCTGCGCGCCCCCTGAGCCGCACATGCGCAGTGAGAATGAGAGGACGTCATATGACGTCTTCCCAGAACGAGAGAATCACCTTGCGCCCGTCATATTACTATATGGCAGGCGGGAGGTGGTTAAACTGGAGAATCCGCATAATACCACATTGCGAGGTGCTTAGAATATAACTTAACATTTATGTCATGAGTTATATGTGTCTCCTGAAGAAACACCACGTCCATGGAGTATTGGTGGATTTCCCTCAATATTTTGTGTCTTTTTGTTTGAGAATTTAACCCTTTCAAGTTATAAGCCATAAACTTTTTATCACATTATTATTGAATATTATCCCGTTACCCCACTGGCATTCTCTTTACGGGAAGAGAGACACAGACAACTAGAGATATTATTATACAGTGTTTATATAGCGCTAAAAGGTTTGCTCAGCGCTGTACATTATAGTGGGGGACAGAACATGAGACAATACAGTAACAATACAATACACGAGGGGTTCAAGGGCCCTGCTCTTTCAAGCTTACAATCTAGGAGGATGGACGTCCACGCCCCCCCCCCCCTTCCCCCTAGTCCTTTTACACCTATTCCCACCCTCCCTCCTCTCTCATCCCTCCCGGCGTTTATTCCGCCTTGGAATCTGGCGTGGGAATATCCCACTGGCGATTCCTAGTTTAGAGTGGAACTCCAAACACATACGACGGCCCCTCACCTAGACAGATGACATTCCTATGGGTGCTTTAGCAGCATTCCTGGCCTCCGGACTACCCACCCACTCCACTAATTCTCCACATCTCATTCCATCCCCTCCCCCGTTGGTCCAGTCTTAGGGGAAAGAGCGGGAACGGCACGGGAGTCCTGACCCTCCGAGGAGAGAACAAAAAAAAAAACTTTACTCTCTCTCCAGCCCACTCCCTGACGTGTCCCGTTACTTCTTCCTAAGAACCCGCTGCCACCCTCCTGAGCTCTGCCCTCCTCTCCCTCCAAACCCTTCTGACCATCCTTCAAGATCCATTTTCTGTAAATCTAATTTCTCACAAAAGTCATTAAGTTCTTCTGGGAATCTCAATCTCACTGATCTTCCATCTTTCCACCCAATTAAACAAGCAAGAAAACCCCAATTGTATCGCACTTTTTTTCTCTTTCATATGGGCTGACAGAGGTTTCAGGGATCTCCTTCTAGCTAATGACTCTAGGGAAATGTCTGCAAATATATGCAGGGTTGTTTTACCATTTCCATTTTCGTTCCCTATCACCAGAATGATGGAACTGGACAATCACGTCTGTAGGCTTTTCTTCTGATATTCCTTTTGGCCGTCTGACCCTATACACTCTTTAAATTTAAAATTTTTTTGCCGTTGAGTTTCCCAGAATTGGGTTACAGATTCTCTGCACTTTCTCCTGAAGATCCTCTTCCTGTCCCGTTTCTTCTGGTAGACCTCTGATCCTTAAGTTTTTTCTTCTAGTTCAGTTCTCCTGATCTTCTACCATCAGTGACATCTTTCTCTGTTTTTTCCACATCTTCTCCACCTGCAATTCCAGTTTATTAATTTGTTGTGCATATCCCTCTATTTTTTCCTCTACTTCTTCAATTTGTGTTAATATCTGACCCAAATCATTGCGAAGCGTCCCAATATCATTTTCCATTGACATCTCTAGCTTCTCAAACATTTCCGCCAACTCTTTTTTTGATAGAGATTGTGACATTGATCCCTGCTGTTCCATATTTCCTACACTTTCTCCATTTACCGTTTCTTTACACTGGCTCCCTTGCAATGTAACAACTGAAAGTCAGGATTGGTCTCCGTCATTTTTTTAGAGTTCTATCATAATTCTCCCTAGTTTGAGTCTCGGGGCTTTTTCCCTGTGGGGGCATATACTTTCTTATGTTGCTCTCATATTTATACTTGATTGGGGGGCTTTAGGTCCCCCCCCCCCTTAGTCTATCTACTCATTTCAAATACGTTACAGTTCATTGCCCTCTATTCCTTTGTGTTATAATACAGGCCCCAGAACCCTCTTTTTCTTCAGCAAAAAAGTCCCAAAAAGTCTGTTTAAACTTTATAATAATAGAGGCCCCTCCAACCCACAAGGCCATAGAAGCCCACCACATTTAATCTTCTTTCTTCAATAATGATCACTATATGTGCTGATTTAAATACAGAAAAATGACAGTTCTTAGAAGAGTTTTGACCGCTACCAGTGGTAACTCACCCTCCACTTGTGTGCTGCAAAGCTCTTGCCATTCTTCTACTGTCTCTGCCAAATTTCGTCAGATTTCACCACGGAGGGGTCTTGGGGCATCTGAATTGAATCCTGGGGTCAAGGACTCTCTATTTTACTTCATTTCTGTAAGTTGAATTCCCAACTCTACAAAAGTCTTCAGGCAGCTCCATGGACACCCCAACACCATTCCATCCTCAGGGTCCTCCAGTGGCTCTTCCTCCTCTCTCCACAGGAGCTCTCACAAGGACACCGCCCCCCTCCAACCTCCGGTCTCTGCCAACCGGCACCGCCTCTCACACAGGCCAGCCGGGGATGCCGGCAATGCGACCGGCAACCGGACTCTATGCCAGTGGACCAGACAGACAGCTCACAAGCGTAGAGAGCTTCAAGGCTTGCCACCAAACGGACCTCCTCCGCACTGGCTGCCAATATCACAACCGGCAACCGGACCCCTCTGCACACCAGGGACCAGGTAGGGAGTCCTCAGGCGGGCGTCCGGAGCTCCACGGCCACGCTACCTAACCGTGCCATGTGTTGACTCCTCCCCCTTTTTTGAGCACTTTTACATATATATTGTACATTCATATCAATCCCTAATCCTCAAGGAGCATGCAATATAAGGTCCCTAGCTCACATTCTTACATGCACATACTAGGGCCAGTTTAGACAGGAGCCAAGTACACCTACCAGCATGTCTTTGGCGTGTGGGAGGAAACCAGAGTACCCAGAAGAAACCCACACAGACACAGGGAGAACATGCAAACTCCATGCAGGTGGTGCTGTGGTTAGGATTCGAACCAAAGACCCTAGTGCTGCTAGGCCTAAGTACTAATCTCTTAGCCATTCTGCTGCTAATACCACTGAAAGTGAAATAAAATCCAAAATTTTGGGCTGCTCCTGGAACAGTTAAGAGGGGAAATCCTTCCAGGGGTGGTATTTGTTCTGGTGAAAGCCAGGCAGTCCCTTCATTTGGAAGGATATCCTCCTAATTCCTGTTTTAGCTTTGAGACAGTAAGTGAAGAGAAATCTTCCCAATGCATGTGATATGAACGGCCTGGAGTGGCAGCTAGGTGGTGCACAATTGTAGTGTCTGGCCTGTGATGCAAACGGCAGGACCGAAGAGGATTGAGGGGCCAGCGGTTATCACTTAGCTGCTCTCCCACAGCTGCATAACGGGAGAAGGTGCAGCATTTGAAAAAGGAAGAGTGTCGGTGTGTTCTATTCAATGGATGTATTCTTTACAGTCAAGAAGTTGCCTTTTTGCCTTTGTTTGATCTTCAGTTCCCATGGTACTGCACATGTGATCAATTATTACACTAGCCATATGATGGCTTGGCAGTTTGGTTGAGAGTAGAAGCAACTGTGACAGTTATCATTCACTGGCATTCCTTGAGTGTGACCTGTAGTGGAAAGCAGTTAAATTGATGACTTTATTTCTGCTTTAATGCTTCATTCTGAATAGTGTGGCTAGCCCACAGCTATCCACACTATTCAGAATGTAGCATAGTAGACCTAAACAAGAGGAAATAAAATTTCACACAGACCGCCTCATGACAGAGACGAGGGAGCCCTCATCCTATTTCTGTTTAGTATAGATTTTTAAGCATCAAAGAGCATTTAGCAAGTGTGTAGGTAGTGCTGGGCTTTCTTACTAGACAGCCCAGCATGTTCTGCAAACTGTCATGGAGGCACACTGTAAAAAATGTTTGTAAAATGCAGGTTATATACAAATAATTTTTTAAAAAGTGTATGAAATTCCAGTTTATGAACTCATAGTATTCCAGAGGGAAAAAAATGTGTCTGAAACTATTAGGCCCCTTTCACATCAGCGGTCTGATCTGGTCTGCCTGTCTGTTTTTCAGGTGGACCAGATCGGACCCTCCATTCTCCTCTATGGAGTGGTAGGTATAAATGGCCGTGTGTCCATTTACATCCGATCCAGTCTGCTTAGAACAGATAGATGGGGGATCCGTCCTCCTTGCCTACGTGGATCTGATCATATGGCAGTTGAGTGTAAACAGATATGCAGTCTGTTTACATCCGACCACCCATAGAGGACAATGGGCTATGTCTATGTCTGCTCTGCAAAAGCAGAGTGGACACAAACCTGTCATTCACCTGCTCAGGGGGAAACCAGTGAACAAATCTCCCACTGAGCAAGGGTACTCCTGGCAGAGTTCGCCCTGTGTGAAAGAGTCCTTATAAACCCCAGCTTTGTTTCATCCGTATTCACATTTTTGTTGGCATAAAATGGAATTTCAGGCAGATATGATCATAAAAAGGGGAGAAAAGCGTATTTGGTGACAGAGTACAATCACTGTTCTTTCAAGATCCTTTCTGCATTACATAGTGGTCACATGAAGTTTAGTCCTCATGCACACTGGACGTTTTTACAGCCGCTACTTTTGACTTTTGGCGGGTTTTTTTCCCCAGCATGTTATCCTATGTGTCCATGCACACATAGACTGTAATCAACGTTTTTTTGGCTGGAAAAAACCCCCAGAACTAGTGGGTTTCTAGAGGAGTTTTTTTAGCTGTAAAAACACTCTAACTCTGAAAAATGTGGTAAAACGTGACAAACCAGCGTTTTGGGACAAAAAACCGCGAACGTGGAAAAATGCTAATGCAAAAAAACGCTGAAAAACTTGCATTTTTAATGTGACTTTACACAGCTAACATTACCAGCGTCATTAAAACACCTAGTGTGCATGGAGCCTAATGCAGGCCATAGACGGGGAGAAAACCGGAGGTTTTTTTTTTTTTTTTTTTAAGAGTAACGAAAAATTGGTCGTTCAATCATCCAATGTTACCACCATTGGTAAAAAAAAGGCGGCTGATTTTCGTCCCATCTACGGCCGGCAATTATATAGAATATGCAGAAGAAGAAATAGAATATGAAGAAGAAGAAATAGAATATGCAGAAAAAAGAAGAAATAGAATATGAAGAAGAAATAGAATAGGAAGAAGAAGAAACAGAATATAAAGAAGAAAAGTTGCAACATTGTATCTATTTGTATCCATTTTGGATACAGATGTTTCTATTCGGATACAAATAGATACATGTTGCTATACTTTTAAATGTCAAATATAATATCGGACTGAAATTCTTTTTTTTGTTTTCTTCTTCTTCATATTCTATTTCTTTTCTTCATCTTCATATTCTATTTTTCTTTTTCTTATTCATATTCTATTCTATTTCTTCTTTTTTTTCATATTCTATTTCTTCTTCTCATTCATATTCTCTTTTTTTCCTTTTCTTTTTTCCTTCTTCTTTCATGTCACTGCTCATGCACATTTTTTAAAATCGGAAAAAGATCGGCAGATTTGTCCATCATTGCCGTGAAAATCGGCAGAACGACAAATTTGGCCGATTATTTTCCAGCAGTGCCGATAATCCAAAAGGTGAAAAATCACTAAAAACGGCAGACCGTTTACCGCACTAACGATCCGAAAATGGGCCGATTTTTTTTTTTTTTTTTTTTTTTCTCCAGCCGATTTTCGGCCGTTTTTTTCATCCCACCTATGGCCCGCATAAGTGTAAGGGTTTTTGTTGCACTATATCATAGACAGGGGGAGATGGGAAGAGTTTCATTGCTTTCATTTTGTGAAAGAAAAGATTGACAATTATAAAAGAAGTTATGAGTGCTGTATAATAACTAAGATTCTTGTGTAAATGTTTCAGATTTGCAGGGCAGTCCATCTTTAGGAAGTATCTGGATTCATTAGAAGAACAATATTTTGTACTGGCAGCCATTACTTGAATTCCTCTAGTTTGGATTGGCCTCAACTTTCCCGACTGCTCTGCTCTGCAAATATCAAATTCTGTTTGCATACAAATACACAGAGTTTTTCTTTAAAATCTAATGAAACGCCACATATAACTGCATTAGCAGAGGAATTTGCCCTGATTAAAAACCTGAAAAGATCCGTAAATCATTCAAGATCGGCTTGGAGAGATAATAGTTTCCATGGCGACGATTTCTGCTGCATGTCGACATCAGAGGGCTTTTCACAACCTGATCCAAAGCAAGCTTGAAAACAAATAGCTTATCATTTCCATGTGTCTGTGAATAGAACCAGCTGCTTTAACCCTTTCGTGGCATTCTGGACAGCATATCTGGAAATATAATGAACTTGATGTAAAAGCTGGAGGGAAGAATGTTCTCCACAGCAACTAGTGAAATTGTAACTGTTATTTCTGTAATTAGGGTAGGAAATGAAAGACCGGTTAGTACAGGCATCAGAGGCTTTTTTTTCTTCTGCATACAAAAGTGACATTGGCATCAATTTACTAAATAACATATACAGTCACTTCACCTCTGTTTTAGCTGTGCGAGTTGTCAGCAGAAAGTTACCTTTTTAGGTTATCAAAGGTTTATCACATCATTCTCGCTGCTTAAATTATTGTTTGGATGGTCCTAATTTTTTTTAGGCTAAACAAAAAGAAAAAAGCTACCATCCACGGAAATGCGGTGGATGGAAAAGTCCCCCACACTGGGTCATTGTATTCTGACAGCGGCACACAGTGCCTTCGATGGAAATTGATTAAATAGTTAAGTTTTGTGGAGACGGGGAGGCCACACACACTCATCGAAATTCAATTTGTATAATGCCAGCTTTAGACACTGAGCTCACCCTGAGGAGAACAGAATATTGGAGGAGTTCAGACTTGTTCATCTCAGCAGGCATGTGTTATGGTCCATATATTACACACTGACTAGTGTAAGGTGATGGTCTGATGTGGTGTTATAATACAGCACACTGTTCTAGTTTTTTTTTTTTTTTTTTTTTTTTAAATGTTAAGTGATATTATTTACCTGCTCTGTGCAGTGGTTTTACACAGAGCAGCCTCTATCCTCCTCTTCTTCATGCCCCCGCCAGGCGCTCCTGCCGAGTGCCACAGAGCAATCAGTTTGCTATGGGGGCACCCAAGCAAGCTCGTTCCCAAGACACTGCCCTGTGTGCCCATTCACACACACATCTGTGGCTGGGCTCCAATTCCTCTCTCTACTCATTGGCTCACTGGCTGTGATTGACTCAGCAAATGGGGAGGGAGAGTCCCCGGAGAGCCAAGGCTCTTATGCACATTGCTGGATTGTGATGGGGCTCAGGTAAGTAGGGGGGCTGGGGGGACTGCTGCACACAAAAGGTTTTTTACCTTCTTGCACAGAGTTAATGAAGGTAAACAAAAACCTTCAGTCTTTACAACCACTTGCCAACCGCGCTATAGCTTAACCACTTGCCGACCGCGCTAGCCGAATGACGGCTTCACCGCGGCCGGCCAGTTCTGAGTGGACGTCATATGACGTCCTCCCAGAACGCGCTCTCCTGCGCGCCCCAGGGGGCGCGCACCCGGCGATCTCCGTGATCGCTGTGTCCTACGGACACAGCTGATCACGAGATGTGGTGAAATGTCGATCCCACCGGCCTTTTACCACGTGATCAGCGGTGTCCAATGACACGCTGATCACAGGAAAATGCAAGTGCCGGTTCTCGGCTGCACTTTCCTCACGCTGTCAGATCGTGAGGAAAGTACTGCCGAGAACCGGCAGTTGTCAGAGCGCGGGGATCGGCACCGATCATCAGGGCACTGATGATCAGTGCCCTGATGATCGGTGCCCAGCAGTGACCCCCGCAAGTTCCGATCAGCTGTGCGCACCACTAGCCCCGCCCACCCATTCCCAGCGGTGCCCCCACCTGTGCCCAGCAGTGCCCCCACCTGTGCCACTCTGCAGTGCCACCTACCTGTGCCCAGCAGTGCCACCTACATGTGCCCAGCAGTGCCACCCACCTGTGCCACCCACCTGTGCCCACCAGCGCCACCCACCTGTGCCCACCAGTGCCACCCACCTGTGCCCACCCACCAGTGCTGTCCACCAGTGCCACCCACCAGTGCTGCCAGTCAGTGCCACCAGTCAGTGCCCAGGGGTTGTGCCAGTCAGTGCCGCCAGTCAGTGCCCAGAAGTGATGCCAGTCAGTGCCGTCTATCAGTACCCATCATCAGTGTCACCTATCAGTGCCGCCTATCAGTGCTGCATATCAGTGCCGCCTATCCGTGACCCCTAATTAGTGCTGTCTATCAGTGCCGCCTATCCGTGCCACCTCATTAGTACTGCCTATCAGTGCCCTTTAGTGCTGCCTATCAGTGCCCATCAGTGCCGCCTCATCAACGCAAATCAGTGAAGGAGAAAAAATACCTGTTTGAAAAATTTTATAAAAGAAACAAATAAACTTTTTTTTTTTTTTTCAAATTTTTTGCACTTTTTTTAATTTATAGCGCAAAAAGTAAGCGCCCAGTGGCGATTAAATACCACAAAAAGAAAGCTCTATTTGTGAGAAAAAAAAATGATCAAAATTTCATATGGGTACAATGTTGCATGAGACCGCGCAATTGTCAATCAAAGTGTGGCAGCGCTGAAAGCTGAAAATTGGCCTGGTAAGGAAGGGGGTATAAGTGCCTGGTAGGCAAGTGGTTAATGATGGCTACAGCGCAGTTGTCCAGTTCTGGGAGGGCGTCATTTGACGTTCTACCTGGAATACATGCACCCCCAGCGATCTCCTTGATTGCTGTGTCATACGGACACAGCTGATAACGTGATGAGGTAAAAGGTCAATCACAGCGGCCTTTTACCACGTGATCAGCTGTATCCAATGACACAGCAGATCACCAAGTAAATACAGTTGCCAGTTATTGGCTGCAGATTCCTAATGCTGTGATTGCGAGATTACTGCCAACTGTCACAGAGAAGATCCAGCACCAACGCCTGTCAATGCAGCATCATCAGTGCCTCCTCATCAATGCCCTCCAGTGCCACCTATCCGTGACACCTCGGAAGAAGAAAAATTACCTGTTTGCAAAATTTTATAATAGAAACAAGAAAAAAATATATATTTTTTTTTCAAATTCTTTTGCTTTTTTTTTTTTTGTTTATAGTGCAAAAAATAAAACAACCAGTGGTGATAGAATACCACAAAAAGAAAGCTCTATTTGTTAGACAAAAATGCTAAAAATTTCATATAGGTACAATATTTCATGACCCGCGTAATTGTCATTCAAAGTGTGAGAGTGCTGAAAGTTGTAAATTGGCCTGGGCATAAAGGGGGTAAAAGTGCCCAGTAGGCAAGTGGTTACAGTTCAATTCATTCACCTTTTTTATACTTTTTTTTTTTTTTTAATAAAAAAAATAAGGCTGTAATCTTTTTTCTGGTACACTGTTTTCATGTACTCACCCTATTTATTACATGCTGACAAATGCATGAAAAAAATCTATTTTTAAATGTATTTATTCCTTTAATACTGTAATTGTATCTGGCAATTACAACATTATACAGATTGCACTGCAGATGTCATTTCAGCCTCAAGGTGACATTGTTTGCATGCTGAAGTTATAAAACACTCCAATCAGAATTGAAAATCAAACCTTGAGGTGCAATACAGGAAGCACAGCTTACCTTCATTCCGACATAGGATTCTGATTCAGGAATGTGTGTGGTGATGCAGAAAACATAAGAGACTATATACTCCCAGTAACCCTGAGATTCTCCTGGCAGCAGATTTCAAAGACCTAAATTCAGTGACCATGCTGATGTTATCATAGTTGGGATAATAGTATTAGAAGTTAATTGATTACTTGTCCAGGTATTACCCCTTGTGTTTCATATGTTATTTGCAGCCTTGAGGTGCTACATTGTTTACTTCTTGGCATGAACTTTTTTAAATGTTGTCGCAAAACCAAATGCCTGTCTCCTGTGCTTTTGTTGGAAGCTGGCACTCTGACTTATGACATGTGGTTGAGGGAAGTATATTTGAATGCATCCAGCTTCATTGTCTGTGGATAGGATAAATAAAAACAGGGTGCGTAAGGAAAGGGAGCCTTGCGTTAGGTGGGTGGCAACATGGAGCTTCTTCCCTGGTAGCAGCACCATCTTATGTGTGCATCATTGCCCAATCATATGAACAGGAAAGGCAGGTAGTGCCATTAGGTTGCAGCCCAGAACAGAAGCACTTGTAAGAAGCTTATTTCATCTGATTGCTTTTGGATTTTAGTAAAACTCCAATTAAAGTGTAATTAATTGATTTTCTGACTTCCATGTTTTTTAGATAGTGTTGTTCTGTTCATTGGTTTTAATTGTTGCCTAAACTATTGAGTATTAAACTGGACAGGTTGAGGAAGTGGTGGAATAGAATACCAAAGTTTTAATGAAATACAGTGCCTTGAAAAAATATTCATGCTCCTTGAAATTTTCCACATTTTGTCATGTAACAACCAAAAACATAAATGTATTTTATGTGATAGACCAGCACAAAGTGGCAGATAATTGTGAAGTGGAAGGAAAATGATCAATGGTTTTCAAAAATGTTTACAAATATTTCAAAAGTGTGGTGTGCATTAGTATTTCACCCCCCTTTACTCTGATACCCCTAACTAAAATCTAGTGGAACCAATTGCCTTCAAAAGACGCATAATTATTAAATAGAGTCCACCTGTGTGTAATTTAATCTCAGTATAAATATAGCTGTTCTATGAAGCCCTCAGAGGTTTGTTAGAGAACATTAGTGAACAAACAGCATCATGAAGGCCAAGGAACACACCAGACAGGTCAAGGATAAAGTGGTGGAAAAGTTTACAGTAAAGCAGGGTTAGGTTATAAAAAAAAAAAAAAAAAAATATCCCAAGCTTTGAACAGCTCACAGAGCACAGTTCAATCCGTCATCTGAAAATGGAAAGAGTATGGCACAACTGCAAACCTACCAAGACTTGGTTTTCGACCGAAAGTGTGACAGACCGGGCAAGGAGAGTATTAATCAGAGAAGCAGCCAAGAGGCCCATGGTAACTCTGGAGTAGGTGCACAGATCCACAGCTCAGGTGGGAGAATCTGTCCACAGGACAACTATTAGTCGTGCACTCCACAAATTTGGGCGGGGCCCTTAAATAAAAAGACCGCATGAAGAACACCTAGTATGTCACAGTAGTTGTCACGATCGCGGCATCAGATCCCAGACCTTCTCACCCAAACTCGTGACCGAAGGGCTAGCCGATCTAAAACCGCAATCTGACGTGCGTAACAATTCCACACCCAGCTGCACCCTGCACAACGATTTTCCAGCTAATGGATACAGATCGATGTACCGGCAGCCTGAGCGATCGTTGCTGGGTCAGGTTAATTACGCAATCAACCGTTCACACTGCCACCACCTCCTTTTTGTACAGAGAAAGAGGAAACTCAGCGTTATCAGCTATAACACTATAATGATGGAGATAATGGAGTCTGTTTAAAATGGTCTGCATGGCGGTTTTATACAGAGGTTTTTAAACAACCACAGTAGCGTCTCTTTAGAGGCAGGAATTCGTGAGTTGCAATATAGAGCTATAGAAACAGTTCAACACTTTCCGAAAGAAAGATTTATTACTAAAAGTTCAAACAGGAGCAATAAAAAAATATTTACAGAACAAAGATGTAACCAAATATATATATATATATATATATATATATATATATATATATATGTACATATACAAAGAACCATAGCACAGCAGAGAGAGGTGAAAGGGTTAAAGTACTTGCCAAAGTCCTGGGTTAGCAGATCCAAGTTTCATAGCAGAAGGGTGCTTTGATCTTCCTATGTTATGATGGAAAAATGGGAGAATGCTTCAACTCCTCTTCTTAGGCCTGACAGCCTGTTTTAAAGTCCCCAGCAGGGGGGTGGCTCTGCAGTCAAAGGCCAATCTCCACTTAGGGCATGGAGATAGGGGTGGATGCCTCAACTAGAGCAAAAATATCTTCCATAACTCATATTTGCCTATAACTTGTCACCTGCACAAGTGACAGTCCACCCGCGGGTATATTATTATACAGACCAGTCTGAGGATTGATTAGATATGAATTATGAAATTATATACTGAATGGTTCACGAGATCTATGTTTCTGCTTCCCTGTGTGCCCGAGACAAGGCAAGTGACCCACCAAAATGTTCGGCTCCTCTTAGCCCATTTGCTCGGTTTTTATGTAAGTCTCTCATCTTCCAAGATATGAGACATAGGGGAAAAATGGATTTGAGAAGTGTTTATCTGATTCTATCACCTACGCTGAGCTAGGTTTATTAGCTCAGAATCTCTTTCAACTTCTGGGAAAGTTTGCCTTATCTCTCCCGAGGTGTGAAATGGCACAGGTTCTTGGGACAGTGCTGCACCACGTGGCTCCCTGCTGGGATCTGGCCTGTGACACTTTTACACACACACACATCTGTCACTGTGCCTCTCAGAGTGAGGGGGGGAAGAATGAGGGAATAACATGGCTACTCTTAACAAAATGGCAGACTGCGTCAGTCTCTGGTGCGCACATTTGCGACAATAGTGTCTTTTGTCCCCATTCGCATCACCCCGGATTCCATAGCAGTGTCCTCTGTCCCCCTTCACATCAACCCTCCACCCACACTGTAGAGGACTCTGCCTCCTTCACATCATCCCCCACTGTAGTGTCCTCTGTCCCCTTCTCCCTCCCCTTCCAGTAGTGTCCTGTACCCGCTCCCAAAGCAGTGTCCTCTGCACCCTTCACATCACCCAAGCCCCCGGGGGCTAAGAATTAACCACTGCGTTACAGGCAGGAGTTAACTTTAGAAGATAATTCCAGATATAAAGTAAAAGAATCCTAGGACTGATAATACGAACCATTACACAGCTTTTGTCATGAGGTTAGATCATAGGACAGTGGGGAGGGGGTGGTGGGAGGTCAGAAATAATTTGGGGTGCCTAGCATGCTGCATTCCCAAGTTGACTTTTTTTTTTACCATTAGTCATCTGCATGTGGTTCTTCAAAAACAAAGCTACATTGATTTTATAACACCATACATTAACCCA